CATATTTCAATTCAATCACATTTCCTGTTGATCGGGATGCACCAAAAGGGGTCTTTAAGCCATTAAATTAAGCGGCAGAGAATTAATTCATCACGAATGCTAAAATTATTACTGTTTTAAATTTATTTATATATCACACCCATTTTAGAAAAATAAAACGCGCTCCCTTTCAATTGGCTACTTCGCATGAATTCATAGGCTCCGCGAAAGAAATAAAAATCAAAAGTGGGCCCCACCATAACTTACATAAAAGCCCTCTGCAATCTCGATATTAATAATTACAAAATGGAACGCTGGAATCTAGCAATAGCGACCTGCTCCAACACGCCACCCACTATTTCGCCGCTCATATATTTCCCCTTTTAAGCCAAAACATCACCGCCACGTAGACTCGTAGGCCCTACACCTAACCCACAACATTCATCGTCCGATCCACAGATCCCAATCCAACGGCTGACCACCACTATCGCATGCGTATCTACGACAATGACTCCCGCGGGGGCTCCGCCGCCTGATTTAAGACGATGAAATCCAACGGCCATCAACACTTAATAAGGAAAACGACAGTATAGCCCAAAGCCCGACCGCGCCCACCACCGGTGGGAGCCGTACGACTACTTGCGCAGGATCTCGCCCTCCCGCTTCTGACACGTAGCAGGCCGAGTGGCGGGGACCGCAGCTCCCATACGGTTACAAATTTAGATCCATTCTCTCCTCCCCTATTTCATCCTACGCTTCCTCTTCTCTACTCACACACTACACAGAAAAGTAAGCTCCAAACAAAGCCAAAAACCAAAACCCTAACCCTAAAGATTTTAACTATGTCGCCGGCTCTCAGCCTCTTCTCTCCCACAAAGTCTGAACATGCCGTAGAATTCGAGGTTGAAGCTGCTGCAGCCGGGGAGGCCAAGCCCAAATCGAGGCGCGGTGCCAGGCCGCCTGCTCCGAAGAAACCGCCACAGCGAGGCCTAGGAGTGGCACAGCTGGAGCGTCTTCGGCTGCAGGAGAGGTGGAAAATGATGAACGACGCGATGGAGCCAACTGTTTCACTTCCGCTCTACGATCTATCGGCGGTCACGCGATTCGGTGGAGCCTGGGTTGATGCTCATTCACTGACGCCGAAAGCTGCGTCATCGCCACCCCAGGCATTTCCAGCTTTTCTTTATCTCCCGCGCTGCAGGTCAGGGATTCAAATAGCCGGCGGAGGCTACGGGACGTTTCCGGCTAGTCGACCAGCATTGCCTGAGCAGTACGGGCTTGATCGGTTCCAGTTCGGGGCCGGAAGCCCTTCTTTAGAGCCCCCTTCAAACCAAACCTCGCCGCTGTGCTTCTCGAGCCAATGCGAGTTCTGCATTCGTGTAAGCTTGCAAGATTTAGTCCAATCTTGTTCGATCTCTTTTCCTTTGACATCATTTTTTTT